CTGCATAGTACTTGTGTTTTACAGTTGATTTCATCATAGCCTATATCGAAGGGAAGATGGCTGTGGAACTCATTAGAATAACAATATAACTCATTATCTATGTTGCTCAACGTTTATTCATAAATCTGGTCGTTTCTCCGTCACGTGTGTATTGTATTTTTGCCCAAATATAACCAATAGCAATGTCTTAGGAAAGTCACCTATCCGTGATTCGAATAGGGAACTGGAAATTGCTATTGGTGGATTTGGTAAAAATACAATACATGCATGTGACGGTGAAACCACCAGATTTATGAATAAACGTTGAGCAACATAGATAATGAGTTATATTGTTATTCTGATGAGTTTCACAGCGATCTTTCCTTCGATATAGGCTATGATTTCACATAACTTTTCCCTGAATGTTGCGAACTTCGTTGCTATTACTTGGTTGCGAAGTTCAAAAGTTCAAAATTATATTCACAAACCGGTGTGCTAAGGGACCAATCAGAGGCTTTGTTTACAAACCATATTGTGAATTTCAGTGTGAACTTTTGAACTTCACAACGAAGTTCGGAATGAAGTACGCAATATTCATAAAAGTATATGTGAAATCAACTGTAATGTTAGAAAGGGTTTCAAATTTGGTTCATGAGTTCACATATTATATGTATATTGTGGAAATATTGTTTTGAGGTATAATATTTATACATTTATTATTTTAATTAAGTACGTAATTTGTGTACTTTCATGTTGCTCGTGCCGTGGAAAGTGGAATACGATCCATTGTAAACTTTTTTCTAAATATACAAAGGGTGTTCCAGCATGATGTCTGCCTTTTTTTGCGTAATACACAGATTTTTGGTAAAACGATTTTCAAATTTACAGTACTTTCTTCGATATTCCCATCCGTCAGTATTTTTACAGTGAAACGACAAGATTTTGATTTACAGCCGTTTTACGGCAATAAAACAGAATTACCCTGTAAAAATATTTTCTGTAAATTTACAGTACTTTATATGGCGTCCCAGCTGCCAATACTTTTTACTGTAAAATTACGGATTTTTTTACAGAATTCCCTGTAAAAATATTTTCTGTAAATTTACAGTACTTTATATGGCCTCCCAGCTGCCAGTACTCTTTACTGTAAAATTACGGATTTTTTTACAGAATTCCCTGTAAAAATATTTTCTGTAAATTTACAGTACTTTCTCTGGCGTCCCAGCTGCCAGTACTTTTTACTGTAAAATTACGGAACTTTTTTTAACAGTGAGCTGTCTACTGCTTTATCGTAAGCACGGATGTGACATTCAGCAATTCATAGCTTGCCTAGATTACATAATAACTACCTTTGATATTGACGTTATAGTTGGAGATTTTAATATTAATTACTTTAATTAATGAAAAGAACATTTCTTCATTGAAAGTACTCGCCGAGTCTTTAAATTATGTGCAACTTGTAAGTAAACCAACATTTGTTTCATCCGGAAGTCTTCTCGATCATGTTTACGCAAAACAGTCAATAAGCAATAAAATAGAAACAAACGTTGTAAGTGTGTATTATTCAGATCATGAGGCTGTTAAGGTAACTGCAAGATTTTGACAAGTAGTTTCATTAAAAATTTTGACATATACAGTAGTGTAACGCCAATAGTTTCAATAACGTTTCGGTATATAAGCCATTAAGCTAGCACTATTAAATTGCAGCAGAAAAGCTAAATAAATCGAATATTAAAAAATCGCTGAAATGAAAATCCAGTCTAGCAGATACTGGGATGGGAGATTCTGGTAGATCACCAAAGAGACTGACGTGAGGAGTCTCCTGGAGTTCCATGCAAACAAGGTATGTTCAATCATTTTTAAATTGAAGCTAGATGCAACATGTACATTGACTATACTTAGTATAGTGCACTACATCTCAATTGCTCTGTAAGCTCAAATTCATCACTCAAAATGTTTTCTTTTAGGACTGAAAGTTTGAAATAAGACAGTTGGGGAAATTGTCACCAATTATGTTAAGGTATGTCCCAAAGTATTTATGATTTATACTTACACCTGTATTCTAAAAGCTCACTCACACTCAAAGAGTGGAGGTTCAATCTCAGCTTCCCTTGAGTGTCAATGCTGTTTTTGAATAGCTGGACGGTCAGTGGTCACATAGTACGGTACGGCACTAACCCTCCAGCCGTTCAAAAGCAGCATTGACCATCGAGGAAAGCTCGGATCAAATACAGGCGTTAGTCTTCCTATGAGTATGTATGATGAGTAAAAGGATTTATATTCACTGCTTTAAGAGACAATATGGCCCACTTACTCTGTTTAATGGCAGACGATTTTACTTGTCAAGGGGAGCGCGCTGTCACTTAATGGGTTAACATTAAATCGTCATCAGGTTCATAAGGCACAAACAAACGATCTTATAGCTGTCACTATATCGATGAGCTTATTGTAGCTCTGGGGCAAATCCAATTAAATATGTTCATATATTGACACACTGTTAAGGTCCATACAGACCGAACGTGATTCGACAACGCGACGAGAATTTTCAGTTTTTAAAAACAAATAAAACCGCCAACGGATAAAAAATGTTACAAAATATGCAAACCAAATAGCTAAAATTGCTTAAGTTGTTCCGAATATTTAAAAACCATAGAAAAATATTGAAGTTAAATGTCATTGAAAATTGAAAATTCGCGTCGCGTTGCCGAATTGCGTCCTGTCTGTGTGGCCCTTTTCATGCGCATAATTAGCAAAATTACCCTTAATAATTCATGAGTTATGCAAATTAATTTGCATAATGATGACGTATTTTTCCGAAGATTCTGCGATGATGATAAAACAACGAGAGCTTTCCGATTACCCGCCATTTTGTTTCAAGATGGCGGAAGGGTTAATAATGGGTGTTTTAAGGGAAAATAACATTGAATTGAGTGTGAATACTTTTCGTTTCCATTTAAAATTGCTTTTGGAAAAGCATGGGGGTTTATTTGAAAGCATGATAGCTCGTATTGAACGAGAAAACGTACTTGAAAATTTGTGTGTGATTTATCAGGAGTTAGAACCTTCGAATTTTGGTAGAATTATGGCTTACTTGACTTTAGTTTTTAAAGTTAGTGATTTTTGTGAGCCTGAAATTGTGCAAGAAGCCGTAGAAGTCTGTGTATGGGAATTAAAACAGGTGGACATAGCTAGCTTTGAAATAAAACAATCTTGGATACAACGTTTAATTGCATGGTTACGCGACTAATAACCTGGCGAAATTTGAATATCACTAATCCGGGTTCAATAGAAAAAGTCATTAACTGTTGTACATGGCTGAACACATTGTACTTTTACTACATTGCCCAGGCCTGTTTGTGCTGACTTAGCAAGAAAACTGGCTTTAATGATAGGACATAAATATCGCGCATCAGACAGTATCATTGTCGTTTACCTACAGCAATGGAGTGCTTGCATGGATTGCCAGCGTCCGCGGTTACTACAAAAAATGGAAAATTTTGGCTTTGCAACAAAAATAATCCCAAGAGTTGTGAATTCTTCTGCCCTGATCAAGACCGCTCGTTGTTCGAAACGGCCATGTCAATGTGGAGAGCGAATGGTCCAATTCATCCGGTGTGTGATACTCACCAAAGGCTAGCAAGAATGAAAGTCGTCAAAGACGTTAGTAAACCGAACTTTGGAAGGCCGTTTTTTGTTTGTTGCGACCGCGAGAATCCATGTGAGTTCTGGCAGTGGGGTGATAGACAAGAGTTTCCAAAACCGAAATGCGGACACGGATTGAATGCTTGCGTGCGGAAAGTCAAAAAGGAAGGAGAAAATCAAGGTCGCCTTTTCTTTTGTTGTCCAAACGATCGAGAAAAGTCGTGCGGATTTTTTGAATGGAAACTCGATCTGGAAAACCCGTTCAACCAAGTTCATTTTCCTCACGTTGAAAGAGTTGGTATATTGCAGAGTAATCCTGCGCTGTACACATACATGGTAGCTGAAACTGGACTTACCTTTACCAGCGCACGGGAAAATCCACACGATGCCTACGCCGAATATATTGGGGAATTGCCTATTTTCTCACCAACGGCAACGAGGGATATGGAGCAACTGTCACTGATAGACTATTAGGAGACTATAATTAAGCTATTAAAACATTGTTATATTAACCCGAACAGAACACTTAACCTAAACCTAGTGAGTGAAATGTTGTAAATACGCTTTGGAATAGTACAAAAAGTACAAATATTTTTACGTAGACTCTAACTCTACCATTGCCTACAAAGGCGGACATTATGAAAAAGACTTACTGAACAGTCTCAGTATTCCAGCCGTAAATTGGGAGTCCTTTGGATGTCCTAAAGCTGAAAAACTCTTTGAAACCTGCAAAAAACCACCTATCAACACTGTCCGAAAGTTGTGTAATACCATTAACAACTGAATCGTATCAACGCAAGTATTACGTAATTGTACTGCACTGATAATATTACATACTAAGTCTAAGCCTTTGAAAATGAGTTTTTCACAAAATTTTGAGACTGCTCATGAGCGAATGCTCATCTGCTCACAAGGCCCGTTTAACCCAAACTACTGTGTATGAGCAGATGAGCATGATGAGCATGTGCTCATAACTGCTCATGAGCACATGCTCATCTGCTCAGGCCCGTTTAGGCCCAATGGCCCGACGTGCATTCTTCGTTCGTGGAAGCCCAGACACTACTTTTTATGTACACAAATGTATAATTTTTCGTATTCGCATGTTTTTGCCATTTTGATTTCTATCCGGCCAGCCCGTGTAAAAATAACAAGAAAAGATAGGTATAATTGAAAAACAATTTATTTTAATGACTCGAAGTTACATGCTGTGTCTATACTGGTATTCTTTTACATGCTAATACTGTTCGAGTACAAGACTTTATATATTCGACCTATCAGTCGAGTCTAATCATCATTGCATGTCATCATCATCATTCTCTTCATCAAAATCGTAACCCTTCTTATAAGAAACATTTAACTCCGAACTACCTACGCACAGATGACAGATTTTGTTAGATCATGTCGGGTACTGCTCATGAGCACATGCTCATCTGCTCATAACTGCTCATGAGCACATGCTCATCTGCTCATAAAACTGCAGTGCTGCTCAGTAACAAGGCATTTCTGTACAGTCAGTGCTAACGGAATGAGCTGCAAATTTTGCAGTAAGCAATTTAACCGTGGTTACAATTTACGAAGACACGAAAAGGAATACTGTCCCCTTCGTGCACAAGAAAGAAATATGTCCCAAACAGATTCGGATAGCCAAGAAAGGTATTTTCAAGACGATGTCTCGACAACTTCAACTGATGTGTCTGAAACTTCGATGAGGACTGATAAGTCAGAAACTGAAGAAGAAATGGACCCTTGGATACCGTTGATAGAAGAAGCAAAACAAAGAAGAAATATAGCTTTGGAGGAAATGAAAGAAAGCCTTATAAACGCTGGTCTAGACGAGCAATCGGCAAAGGACAAAGCTTTCTCTAATATGTTGCCTAAACTCCAGAAGGAACTGGAAAATATTTATATGGAGCGTCTCGTGTGGATGAAACAACTAAAGAAAGATCCAGTACATAAGAAGATAATGCACACAAAAGATGCGCTTGTGGAAAACGATGATTTTGATCCAGAAGAAGCGCTAGAAGCAGCTGTTGATAAGAGAAAGTTTCTTATAAGAAGGCATTTAAAGCGTTACGATTTTGATGAAGAGAATGATGATGATGATATGCAATGATGATTAGACTCGACTGATAGGTCGAATATAGGATTAAAGTCTTGTACTCGATCAGTATTAGCATGTAAAACAATACCAGTATAGACACAGCATGTAACTTCGAGTCATTAAAATAAATTGCTCAGTTTCAATTATACCTATCTTTTCTTGTTATTTTTACATGGGTTGGCCGGATAGAAATCAAAATGGCAAAAACATGCGAATACGAAAAATTATACATTTGTGTACATAAAAAGTAGTGTCTGGGCTTCCACGAACGAAGAATGCACGTCGGGCCATTGGGCCTAAACGGGTCTCATGAGCAGATGAGCATGTGCTCATGAGCAGTTATGAGCACATGCTCATCATGCTCATCTGCTCATACACAGTAGTTTGGGTTAAACGGGCCTTGTGAGCAGATGAGCATTCGCTCATGAGCAGTCTCAAAATTTTGTGAAAAACTCATTTTCAAAGGCTTAGACTTAGTATGTAATATTATCAGTGCAGTACAATTACGTAATACTTGCGTTGATACGATTCAGTTGTTAATGGTATTACACAACTTTCGGACAGTGTTGATAGGTGGTTTTTTGCAGGTTTGAAGTTTCAATGAGTTTTTCAGCTTTAAAACATCCAAAGGACTCCCAATTTACGGCTGGAATACTGAGACTGTTCAGTAAGTCTTTTTTAAATTTTATAATGTCCGCCTTTGTAGGCAATGGTAGAGTTAGAGTCTACGTAAAAATATTTGTACTTTTTGTACTGTTCGGACCAAAGCGTATTTACAACATTTCACTCACTAGGTTTAGGTTAAGTGTTCTGTTCGGGTTAATATAAAAATGTTTTAATAGCTTAATTATAGTCTCCTAATAGTCTATCAGTGACAGTTTCTCTATATCCTTCGTTGGTGAGAAAATAGGCAATTCCCCAATATATTCGGCGTAGGCATCGTGTGGATTTTCCGGCGTGCGCTGGTAAAGATAAGTCCAGTTTCAGCTACCATGTATGTATACAGCGCAGGATTACTCTGCAATATACCAACTCTTTCAACGTGAGGAAAATGAACTTGGTTGAACGGGTTTTCCAGCTCGAGTTTCCATTCAAAATGAAATCCGCACGACTTTTCTCGATCGTTTGGACAACAAAAGAAAATGCGACCTTGACTTTCTCCTTCCTTTTTGACTTTCCGTACGCAATCATTCAATCCGTGTCTGAATTTTGGTTTTGCCAACTCGTGTCTGTCAGCCCACTGCCAGAAATTACATGGATACTCGCGGTCGCAACAAACAAAAAACGGCCTTCCAAAGTTCAGTTTACCGACGTCTTTGACTGGACTTTCATTCTTGCTAGTCTTTGGTGAGTATCACACACCGGATGAATTGGTCCATTCGCTCTCCACATTATCATAGCCGTTTCGAACCACAAGCGATCTTGATTAGGGCAGAAGAATTCACAACTTTTTTCTGGTTATTTTTGTAGAAACTGTGGACAAAATTTTTCATTTTTTGTAGGAACTGTGGACGCTGGCACTCCATGCAAACACTCCATTGTTGTTTATATGACCATCTCAAACTCATTAATAATTCATGAGCAAATTAGCGAATGAACTCACCCTAATTCGTCACATGATTGAGGTTGGATACCGCAAGGAAACACGCTAAAAATCATATACCATCACTGTTGTTAGATGAAAAACGGTTTTCATCTAATAACTGAAATCCTAATTACAAATTCAAGTCAAAACACAACAATATACTATAATAATATATATAAGCGAATGAAATGTTTTCGTTTGAGATGTTGTGTAAACATCTCGTTTCTCGTGTTTCATCGGGACCAAACACTCGAAAACAATAAAACACTCGCGCTTTGCGCTCGTGTTTCATACAGTTTTCTCGTGTTTGGACCCCCTGATGAAACACTCCATTGTTGTTTGCATATAACATCACTGTTCGTGTGTGATATTTATCTACAATCCCTCTATTGTACAAAATCAGGCTTGTCCAGTTGTTAAAGCCGTTTTGCACAAACAAGTTCAGGCCAAGTCGTCAAAGTACAATGTGTTCAGCCATGTACAATAGTTAATGACTTCTTAATGACTTTTATCGCTTCCTTTATTTAACACTATATCTGGGGGATATCTTGTCACGATGAGCTCTGTTTTCTGTGCATGTTCTTTACACGCAATAAACGAGTCAGACACCACTTGGAATAATTATGGCAATGTACGTATTGCATAACGCACATGCCGGTTTATTAATTTTGTAATCAATGACATAAGTTTAACATAACAAATTATTAACCAAAGTAATTCATTAACAGTTAGCACAGAAAAGGTGGGGGTAAAAACGCCCACAACTAACAGTAACAACTATAATAACTAATATACAATATACAAGTAGAATAGTCTTGCGTTCAGAAAAACGGGGAGGAGGGTGGGGAAAAACTTGACTTTAAAATACAGACGACTTTGCGCTACCAAAGCGAAGAGCAGAATGAACCAGATGCGCATTCTGCTATAGATATGTATCACCTCTCCCTTCCGTTTTCCTGCACGCATTACATTCATGTGATCAGAAAATTACGGGGAAAATACCCATGTGTCCCATGTCAAGTTTGTCTATTTATATATCCTAAGCTCAGGAAGCAATAAAATCTTCATTGGTATGCCAATAATTCCTTTATCGCTTCCTTTATTTAACACTATATCTGGGGGATATCTTGTCACGATGAGCTCTGTTTTCTGTGCATGTTCTTTACACGCAATAAACGAGTCAGACACCACTTGGAATAATTATGGCAATGTGCGTATTGCATAACGCACATGCCGGTTTATTAATTTTGTAATCAATGACATAAGTTTAACATAACAAATTATTAACCAAAGTAATTCATTAACAGTTAGCACAGAAAAGGTGGGGGTAAAAACGCCACAAGTCTACTTGGGTAAAGAAGACATACCCCACCCCAGCGTGACAAGGCATCGACAGATAAAGTGATTACAGACCGATGAAACAAGCGAGCAACAATTCTACAAAATTGAGTGATAGTATTGGCAAATATTAATTAAACTGCTCATAATATAAAAGGGGGTGTTAGCTATACCCAAACAATTCGTGCCCCTGCGTTGAACTGCCAGGTATAACCACCACCGACAAGACAAAAGTGTTCTGATCAGCGATGTTTTGCTAATTTTAGAAGTGGGGGGACGGTCATGAAAATCAAATGGGCGTGGTCACTCGATTGGGCGTGGTCTCATGCACAGTCATAGTGAACAAGTACATATGCAATAGCTTGATCTTTGAAGTGGATTTAGTACAACATGTACTTAAAAAACACATAGCTTGCGTGTGGTAGATGTCTAAAAGTAAATAAAACCATGTTGACTTTCGAATTTCGATGATGCAATTAGCGCTATGTGAGTAACTCGGCAAACAGGCAACTTTGCAAGTTGAATATGACGTTTTCGCGAGTAACTAAACACGCTTAGATAATAGATTTCCTTGAATTTTTCCCATTCAATCATGTTAAAATTAATGTTCTTATTGAATCATTTTATGTCCCCGTTGATCATTTTAATGTTCATTTGAATGATTAATTTCGCGATTGCGCGAGAGACGTTATCCGCGCTTATGACTGGTAAGTATTTATCTAAGCGGATGTCAATTATCAGACTCTTGTATTTTTGTGCTAGAATTTTATGCAAGTATATCAAGTTTCAGGGAGATTAAATAGTGAAACAATTACGTTCTGAAATATGTCTACGTAGGACGCTGAGCAATTATTGCCAAAAATAACACGTATGTAGAACAAGTGATGCCAAAATTATTTGGATGGTGTCAAACGGTGTTCACTTGGATGGTGTCAAACGGTGTTCACTGAACTTCACTCATATTTATTCCCTGCCAGGGGGAACGGCGTTCCCCCACGTTTGATTTTGGCAGGGGGGACGCCGTTCCCCTGGTAAAAAAGGTGGGGGGGACGGCGTTCCCCCGCGTTCCCCCTGGAAAACATCACTGGTTCTGATAGCCTTGCCCCTGCGTCAGCATCACAGAACACTCTAAAGCAGTATGTCGCATATAGTAACGTGCATCATAATAATCATTGTAGTCAAGTCTTGCCCCTGCGTCAACTTGACCAGTCAGATGTGCACGGAAGCGGAGTTTGCCAAAATATTAAATGCTTATTGACAGCCATGATCAATCCGGTGAAAAAAGACAAACAACCAAACTCGGCCTATCTAGGCAAAGCGGTTGAGCACAGGCCTGGACCTCGAATATACTTACGAAAGGCGTCGGATTTCCACCGACCCATTGATCAAATTTGGGCATCAGAAAAACCGCATTCCGCAGCAAATGTTGCCGCGCCAATGCGGAAACTATGTCCTTTGTATTTAGTTGGATCGAAACCACATGTCTTGAAAATGAGTGCTAAATAGTCAGTAAAAAGTTTGCGTGAAACCGCGTGGCCCTCGTGCGTTCGAAAAAGCGGGCCATCCGACAAACCACGGCGTGAAAAATAATCCAGTAAGCTCTGCACTGGGCATATATCTGAACGACGCTTAAGAGTGATTGATACATTTGTTTGGTTGTAAGAATGCTTAAAATCAAAAAATGTGATTTTCAGTCCAATTACGCCGCCTGAATGGTCGACAAGTTGGACAATCTGATTTAACTGAAGCACACTTGATGACCTGGGACAACAAGTGATTTCCCCAACACGTAAAAAGGCAAAAAATGCCGTTGTACACATTGCTTTAAACATACACGCACGGTATTCGCTCGCACATATGGTTGATGTTTGTTGCAACACTGTGCGAAGGATAGAAAGAGTTATGGGCATGCGTGTATCCAAGCGCGACCCAAGTTTGCCATACCCTTTCAACATTTCAATCACCCAAAAGACCCTAGTGGGGTCTGGCACGCCTGCAAGGCGATGATAATAACCCAGTGCAGAGACATACGTGTTCGCAGTCGAAGCAGCATAATTGCGCTGAAACATGTAGGCTATAAACAAACCTAAATTAGAAGGCGATATAGGCAAATTTACTAAAGCTGTATGGAAAACTACATTTGAAAACTGGCTATACAGGTTCCAGGCCCGGCGATAAGTAGGGATTGATGATGGCTGTAAACTAGATTGAAGTAATTTAGATGTTATATTGGCCAGTTGTGTGGTAGTAGTTGATCTAGTATAACTGCTGGTGATGGTTGTACACCCACTGGAGCTAGCTGTTTGAACTTCGAAACCTGTAACCGGGATAAACTATCAGCTAAAACGTTTTTAACTCCCGGAACATGGCGAGCACGAAATAAAATATTGTACTTCAAACATGCCAGCACCAGTCGGCTAACAAATATCACGACAGTCACGTCACGAGAAGTGGCTTTATTTATAATATCAACCAACGCCGCATTATCCGTATAAAACGTGATCCGCTTGTTGCGCATCTTATCTCCCCATACAAAAACACTGAGTACAATTGGGTAGAATTCCAAAATAGTGATATTAAGTCGCTTCCAATTTTCAGGCCACTGGCCAAAAAGCCACTCGCAGCCAAAGACCGCACCGTAACCCAAACTACCAGCCGAATCAGTGTAGAGATTTAAACTGAACGAATCAGTCCATACGTCGCTAAGAAAAAACGATCGGCCGTTAAAATCATCTAAAAAGGAACGCCAAATTTCGAGATCCGCTTTTACCGATTTGGTAAGACAGATAAAATGATGCGCAGATTTTATTCCCTTCGTTAAATCGATCAGACGACGCAGAAAAGCCCGACCCGGGACAACGACTGCAGAGCACGCAAAATTAAGTAAACCCGTCAATGATTGAATCTCGCGTAAAGTAACTTTTTTGCGTCGAAGAAAGGCTGAAACTAAAATTTTGCATTCCTCAGTTTTGTCCAGAGGCAAACGGGCCTCCATGCGTAAACTATCTAATTCAATGCCTGCGAACGAAAGGATATTTTCCGGACCGACTGTTTTCTCTGGCGCCATTGGTACGCCTAAGTAATCGCAGAGAGATAAGAAACGAGCAAGGTCAATGCGACATTGGTGATAAGTAGGCGCTGCCATAAGATAATCATCAAGAATGTGGATTAAATACGGGATTGACAAGTGTTTCTTAGCAACCCATTCGATAGCAGTGCTAAACATCTCAAAAGTACGACAGGATGACGCACATCCCATTGGCATAGCACGATCATAATAATACTGTCCCTGCCAAAAAATTCCTAAAAGATCGTAATCAGATGGTTTGATTGGGATAATGCGAAATGCACTCTTAATATCGGTTTTGGCAAGAAAACAACCAGAACCTAATTTTTTTATCATAGCAACCGCATCATCAACACGAGCATACTGTACTGACGCATGCTCTTGTGCAATCCCATCATTAACCGAATCACCTCTGGGAAAAGACAAATGATGAATTAAGCGATATTCCCCCAGGGCTTTCTTAGGAACAACCCCCAAGGGTGAAACACGAAATTTGGGAAAAGGCGGGAAATCGAAAGGCCCGGCAAGTCGACCGGCTGCCAATTCTTTCGAGAGTTTAGCACTAACTATCTCAGGATTTTGTTGCGCAGAAATTAAATTATTTGCAAAAAATGAGGTTCGCGTTTCTTCAAAATGAAGAGAAAAACCAAACTTAAAACCAGTATACAAAATAGATGTCAATCCCGGATCATATCCACATAATAAAGGTTGAAGATTATCAATTCGAACCGGTGTTGGAAGGACGAGATTTGGCCGAGGTCGGGGCAGAGGTGTGCTGTGAGGAACGAAAATTACACCGTAGGGCTGGGTGAATTACACCACACTTGTAACAATTATGTTTATAATTGCAACCAGGGCAGTGATCGCCACGGTGAAACCTGCGACAAAACCCCCTGGGAACAAAGGGCCCGGCAATTGAAGAGGACAAGTTGTTGCGCACAGGCGGTTGAGATTTTGAAAAACGCGCATTATTAAAATTCTGTGCACGGATCCAAAGTTCCCAATGCGTAAACCCCCATGGCAACTCGGTCGGATTAGATTGACGCAAGAGACGAAATTGTGAGTCATAAAAGCGCCAGTCAGCCCCTCGCACGGCCAAATCCCGGACAACTTCACTATATTTCATCAATGCTGGGGCCTCCATTGGATATTTGGCAGTGTACACCCCTACAAAAATTTGAAAAGCCGAAGTCCATGCACCAATGTTAGCAATGGCTTTCGGCTTTTGGGACGGTTCCAAAGACAACGTCGGCAAAGCTGAACCGTTTTGGGAGCTCACAGACAAGTGATACCGGGTATCACCTGCCCCTGAGCTAATTAAAACACCAAAATCGACGAATTCGTGAGACCAAATCTTGGCCTTAACTTTTGCGCTCACATTCGCATCAATGGGTACATTGATGGAATTAAATTTAGGCAGACCCGGCTCTACAGGCGGTGAGACTTGGATAAAACTAGTCTCACCTGAAAGATTATTTAAGGCAGACGCTACCGGCCCCTGCATAGTAGCGTCTGCAAAACTAGCTATACCTGACGCTACCATAGGCAATTCCCTCGTTTCCACAGCTGAAGATGGCGGCGGAAGAGTAGTGGCGCAGGCTCCATTGAGTGACGCTAGCACAGCTTGGGAGACGGCGGAGACGATCCGTTGAACCGTTTCGTTAGGAACAGTCGTCGCTGGCGATGCTGCATCAGGTGCTGACGTTGTGGCCACGGAGGAAGACGCCTCACAACTAACTCCACTTGACTCTGGTTGCTGCATAGTGGTGGCACTGGCGGTTGCTGTTCTTCTCCGAGAGGATGGACGACGTGGTGCTGCTGGTTGTGCACGACGTTGAACTCTTGTGCTAGGTCGAGTAGCAGGCATTCTGAAAGAAAAAACTAAAGACCGAAGACTTTGCTTAACGGGGGCCACATCAGGCCCTGGAATATTAGACAAGAGGAATTTTGGAAAATAACAGACGTCATATTGCACAACCATTTACATATTCATGCAACGGTGACAAATAAAACAACATATAAGCAGCAGAATAATCATGGCATACAGCGAAGGTAGCCGCAATTGATTATCCTTTAACGCCGCAAAAAATAATATACAAGGGCAATCTGAAAACAACATGCCGCACCGTCCCACAATATATTGACAACAACTGTGGGCATCTGAAAACAATAATTGCTCTATCCCACTTAGACATGCATTTTTTCCTTGACACAGGATCGGCAAGTCATATATACCTATAACTATAGAAAAGACATCTTATATACAACACAAGGAAACTACAAGAACACTCCACACACATGAAACAAAACAGATACATAAACTATTAAAGAAGCTGCGAATTGTACGTATATATAACCAGCGCAAATCATGAATATGTCCTGTGTAGAAAAAACCCAATGTTGAAGTCTCAACGTGGGCATCTGAAAACAGTCATGTTGCTCTAGCCCATATAACATAAACATATAGTAGTGGTACATAAACGGCAACCACATACATAGGGGTAAAATATAAAAGAGTATATAATATAGTGCACCATAATTATCAAACAATTATGCAATAATAATGTCTGTACCAACGGCGTAAAATGAACACATATTGGAGCTAAGGACTATAACATGGTGAGAGCCTTCAAGATGGCCCCACGATAGCTACGGTATAAACAGTACTGTCCCTGTGCATTACAGTGCACACCATCTGAGGACAACAAGAGACGATCAGGGTGAGAAAACTCCCTATGTTCCCACACAAAAATGCCTTGTTCCTCAGCAAGGACAACAGACAGGTACTGGCGTAAAAGAGCGGCTTTGGTATTAAACGCATTATCAGGTGCCTGAGTGTGAGGCAGATTCCGATTAATCACTTGGCACACAGCAACAACGCGAACTTTATACTGATCGCGCAGAACGTGCACAAGATCATCGAGTTTCGACCCCACTACTTCAGGGGTGTGACCCGACAAATCGTTAGTGCCCATTTCGAGAATCACGATATCGGGCTTATACTTTTTGACCCATGAGAGATCATATTTAAGCACTTTATCTACGGTTCTGCCACCCGTACCCAACAAAGAAACATTGCCCGATTCGGGTAGATGAAAATTTGGGGCAGCGCGTAAATCAAAGTGCGCTTCCAGGTCGTCCCGTAAACGACGGACAAAGGAATGCCCGAGAAGTAAAATAGTTGGAACACACCCAGACATTACAACTTTCAGATATAAAATGAAAGAAAATTTACCTGATGGAAAAACTTGACTTTAAAATACAGACGACTTAGCGCTACCAAAGCGAAGAGCAGAATGAACCAGATGCGCATTCTGCTATAGATATGTATCACCTCTCCCTTCCGTTTTCCTGCACGCATTACATTCATGTGATCAGAAAATTACGGGGAAAATACCCATGTGTCCCATGTCAAGTTTGTCTATTTATATATCCTAAGCTCAGGAAGCAATAAAATCTTCATTGGTATGCCAATAATTCCTTTTAGGGATTAGTGATATTCAAATTTAGGCTGTTGCTAACGCTTTCTATGTAGCAACCATGAAATTAAGCGCTTTACCCAAGACTGTTTTATTTCAAAGCTAGCTATATCCCCTAGCTTGTTTTAAATTTCATACACGGATTCTTACGGCTTCTTGCACAATTTCAGGCTCACAAAAATCACTGACTTTGTAAACTAAAGTCAAGTAAGCCATAATTCTATCAAAATTTGAAGGCTGTAACTCTTGATAGATCACACACAAATTTTCAAGCACGTTCTCTCTTCCAATACGAGCTATCATGATTTCAAATAAACCTTCATGCTTTTCCAAAAACACTTTTAAATAAAAACTAAAAACTATTTTTGCTTAATTTCACGTTATTTTCCTTTAAAACATCACAAATTAACTCTTCAGCAACTTGAAACAAAATGGCGGCTAATCGGAAAGCCCTCGTTGTTTTATCGTCATCGGAAAATCATCGGAAATATGCGTCATCAATTATGCTAATAAACCGCATGAACGGGGTATATTAAGCCCCTAATATTACTACTTATATGGATACTCTAACTATAGTGTGCGTGTTCTGGATTATTTTTTCAATTTTTTGCAGTCTGTATAATTGTTCGCTGCGACTTAGGTTTATGCTATATACTGCTACTATGGTACACTAAAGCGGTTAGGGGGTTGTCCCCGATTTGATCTTAAAGGATATGTTCTTTGTGGTTGTTCTTGTATCCCTGATTCTTCAATATCACTGTTTGGAATATCCTCGTCTTCACCATCATCGTCATTCGTAGTGGATCCACAAGTGGACGGTCGTGTACTGTTATCTTCTTAAAATATGATGAATTTCTTGTTATCTTGTGTTTGGCATTTTCAGCTGTAACCATGCTGCCTTTTATGGCAACTATGTGGTATGGCATGGGATTGTTGTACGACGAGAATTTGTTACGCTTTCGCTGTCGTACTAGCACATCATCTCCAATCTGAAATGTAGCTGGTTTCGCATTGTTTCTGTCATCGGCATGTTCTTTCATTTTTCTTTTAGCGGTTGCATCTCTGAACCTGAGGTCAGAATCAATAACAGTTGAGGAAACGTCTGAAAGTTTTATTGTCATCTTTCTTCCAAATAATAGTTCCGCAGGTGTTTTGTCGGTACTTGCTTGCGGAGTTGCGCGATAGTTGCGCAGGAAACGATACAGCTGTTGTTTCCAATTCAGCTGCTCGGTGTTTGCCGTGATAATTACTTTGTTTAAAGTTCGCATGAATCTCTCTGCTTCGGCATTTTCCGTGGGCCACAGTGGAGTAATCTTACGGTGGCTGAATCCTAGATCTTCTGAAAATTCACTAAATTCTTGACTATTTTTAAAAAAGGGGTCCGTTATCAGTTCTATTTCTATTGGAATGCCATGGGTAGAAAGAATCTTGTCAAACTTTGGTATTGTTGCCTTTGCTGAGGTGGATTTCAGAATTCTACTTCCGGATACCGAGAATATTCATCAATGACTTATGACTTAGGGGTCCACAAAAATCTGCTGAAAGTTTCTGCCACGGTCCATCGGGGTAGCTTCGTCATTTGTAGAGGTTCGTGATGATTTGTGGGTATCGCTGCTTGAGTGCTTGACATGGTATGCACTGTTCTATCATTGATTTTGCTTGAGCGTCTATTCCAGGGAACCAAACTTTCTCTCTTAGCAGACGTTTAGTTTTTACCAAACCCTGATGTCCTTCATGGGCAAGTGATAACGCATTTGAGCGAAGTGGTGCTGGTAGAATGATTTGGGTTCCCTTCAGAAGTAAATCATTTTCATTGGATACTGTTATTTCTTTACGAAGCTTGAAGTATGCATTCATTTCCTGTGGGTCGACGCCAATGTTCCGTTGCGTTGGAGTGACAGTCCAGTTCCCTGTTCGGATTGCTTTGGTAAGGTGTACGTTGTAATGTTGGGTCGTTGACTGTCGCTGTTTTGACATCATCGAGGGATATATTGCCTTGGGAGTGGCATGCTGTGCGACAAAGCAAATGTATTCGTCTGCTATCTTGGAGTACTGGTTTGATGGTGAAGATGAACTTGACAGTCTTTTTATTTTCCAACTCCACGATATCGATCATTGTATTTGTCTAATAATTGTTTCAGTTTGTTTTCTTTATGAACTTCCGGCTGTTGATTTTCTGTTGCATTAATAGTTAACTTGATAAGGTTCAACCGTTCAAGGCTAAGGCTGTCTCGTAGCTCAGCAACGAACCACATCTCCCTTGCATCACTAAAACTGTCTGTACCAGTGTAGGTAGTACCAATATGAAAATGCTGGGCTGAGTGGTTATATTACTACCTTAAAAACCAAGCAGAAACTCGGCGTTTCGAGCGAAGGCCTTTCGTCAAGAGTTAGTAGTAGTTAGTAACTCTTGACGAAGGGCCTTCGCTCGAAAGGTCGAGTTTCTGCTTGTTTTTTAAAGTAGTAATATAACCACTCAGCACAGCCCTTGCATTACATATATTGTGGTCACAACAATGCGAGTCGACGGTTCTATTTCGACGTCAAATTTTCCAACGATAGGCAGAGGTGTTTTCGCGCCGTATCCGTATACCTTTACGTTTGTCCTACATAAAGTAATGGGGGGCGGCACTGATTTGTCTTGCGTGAATATTTTTGTATTCGTAAAAGGGCGTGTTCGTCAATAATGTCAACACTTGCACCGGTGTCAATCATAATTTCTGTTGGCATGTTTCTGATTTTTACGTGAACTTTGCATGTGTTTTTATATTTCCAAGCGAAAATATGTATTCGTTGTCAGAACTCGAATCTACCGGGTGTTGGTTGCCCTGCTCGACTTTATTTGCTCTTGTAGTATCTTGTTGTTGTCGCTGCATAGTATTTCCGGCTTTGACAGGATTGACACTATTATCGGGTTTTTAATTAAAATTAATATTTCGATTTGTAGACCGGCAATTACGAGCGAAGTGGTTCATCAGTTTCTGACACAATCTACAGGCTTTCCCTTTTGCCGGGCATATTCCATCTAAATGAGGATAGTTGTTTCCACAATTGAAGCATTTTCGTGAGCGATTCGTTTCGCGAGGGCTTTGTTGATATAAACGCTGTTGAAACTGTTGTTGTCGTTGAGTGCGATTAATTTCGTGGGATTCGTCGTGCGTTTGTTCAATGTTTATCATATCGCCATGCAAACATTCAAAGAACTTAAAATTTTAGTTGTTAAACAGAGAAAATATTATAAAATTGTATTGTCAGTATAAACTGATTTACGAAATTATAGTGATTTACATGGATAACACTGTTTAACCGAAATTGTAAATCGGTAAATGATTTTCGGTTTATTACTTCTCAGGGCCGTAGCAAGGGGGGGGGGGAGGGGGGAATCCTGTCCTCCCAATAACTAGGTAATAATATTCTTTTTTCAAAATCATGCAGACCTTTATCATTTAAATAATATACCTTTAAAATACTGACAATTTATTAACTTTAAGCGCTTAATGAATCCTATTATCCATACTTTCCTGCAACTTCTCCAATGTACAGTATAGTTAATAAGTAAATACGCCTAAATTGTAAGCAAATTGTAAATTTCGACATACTAAAACGGGTCGCTTTTTTCTGACCATCAGAATTCTGTCAAAATGTTCCCAGAGTCCAGGAAATGGCATTTCAGAGACTCTAAATTTAAAATTTTCCCTCGTTTTCAGCCACCTCCCCAATAAACAAGAGCTTCCTACGGCACTAGGGATGGCGATACCAGCTTTTTTATTCGATACGATATTTCCTCGATATTTGCCCTTTTTTTCGATATCGATACCGATATCGATATTTTCCCAATTCAAACAATCATAAAAACAAAAAGACTATTTTTAATCATTAACAACGGCAACAACACTAACAAATGAATATAAACATTGAAGAATATGTGTCAGTGATTGCAACCAACATAACCAGAAACTCCCATCCTGCCCGTGGACCATTATAATACCATAGAAAATGAACTACTTTTATAGTATTTACGCCTATTTAGGCTTTTGAAGCTTTTTGGCATTCATTTTCATGATAATGCCGCTGACCAAAATGAAAAATATCGCAGGCGCAGAAATATCGAAACATCGATATTTCTTGCCAGTATCGATACTTTTCTTCAAAACCGCGGTATCGATAGTATCGAGTATTTGGTATCGATATCGGCCCATCCCTATACGGCACTGCTTCTGTAATATGTTTGTGCGTAAAATATGCGTATTTTTGTTTGTAAATTGCGTCTTCATTTTCTGGATAGCAAACACCTTCGTGTCTTCGTATGCCATGGAATATTCGGAAATTTTTTTCGTCACTCGGAAATTGTTTGCCTACACGCCCCTAACTATACTGTATTATATCAATAATGTATTTGCCCTTGCCCTATCTTAAACCACTCCCCTTACTTATATATTAACTAATTAACTAATTAAGTTAATATCAACACTACCTTAGACTACCTTAGGAGTTAGGCCACTTTAAACTATACCTTAGATTCTACTACCTTATAGACTACCTGAGACTACGTTAGGGTACCTTAGCCTTATAGCTTTCCTTAGGTTACCTTATCCTACCTTAGAGTACCTTAGCCTACCTTAGGGTACTTCAGACTATACCTTAGGGTATACCTCAGACTATACCTTAGGGTATACCTCAGACTACCTTAGGGTATACCTCAGACTACCTTACGTTTGTTTGTCGATTGAAAAACGTATCAAACATTACATTTTGAGCGCGTGTTATTTACGTAATATACAAAAGATTCTCCTCAAGCTTAAATATTTTTACTAATTCTTCATATTGTATATGTTCTTCATCTTCAGAACCATATTCGATTACACTCATTGAAGCTGAACGAAGATTAGAGACTGACTGAATCTGTTCATGGATAGAGAAATCATGCAGAAAGTAAATATTCAAGAACGGTGGTCTATGCGAAGAATCCCAACGTAATTGTTGGCGATTAGCAACATGATAAACAATCTTCAGCAAAGGGGTAATATATTCAACTTTTAATGAAGCTACTATACAGTTATACTGATTTACTCGAACTATGTAAAACATATTATATATAATTTATTTTTTTTCTGTGTTGGTGTTGTGTACTCAGGTGAATAATATGTTTGCGATGTTACTCTGAGTGCATATCCACACCGGGCGAGCTTGAAAAATATGCCCGGCCACGGTGGGATTCGAACCTACGACCTTTGGAATACTAGCGCAATGCTCTTCCAACTGAGCTACGCGGTCAGCATGGTTCGAGTAAGTGATATTTTGGAACAGTATCTAGTTCCTTCAATACCAATATGTTCTAGTAATATGAATTTTTTTTTTCTGTGTTGGTGTTCTGTACTCAGGTGAATAATATGTTTGCGATGTTACTCTGAGTGCATATCCACACCAGGCGAGCTTGAAAAATATGCCCGGCCACGGTGGGATTCGAACCTACGACCTTTGGAATACTAGCCCAATGCTCTTCCAACTGAGCTACGCGGTCAGGACGGTTCGAGTAAGTGATATTTCGGAACAGAATCTAGTTCCTTCGATACCAATGTATTCTAGTAATATTAATTTTTTTCTGTGTTGGTGTAGTGTACTCAGGTGAATATGATATTTGTGGTGTTACTCTGAGTGTATATCCACACCAGGCGAGCTTGAAAAATATGCCCGGCCACGGTGGGATTCGAACCTACGACCTTTGGAATACTAGCCCAATGCTCTTCCAACTGAGCTACGCGGTCAGGACGGTTCGAGTAAGTGATATTTCGGAACAGAATCTAGTCCCTTCGATAGTTCGAATCCCACCGTGGCCGGGCATATTTTTCAAGCTCGCCCGGTGTGGATATACATTCAGAGTAACACCACAAATATCATATTCACCTGAGTACACTACACCAACACAGGAAAAGAAAACAAAAAAAAATTAATATTACTAGAATACATTGGTATCGAAGGAACTAGATTCTGTTCCGAAATATCACTTACTCGAACCGTCCTGACCGCGTAGCTCAGTTGGAAGAGCATTGGGCTAGTATTCCAAAGGTCGTAGGTTCGAAT